ATAGTTCTCCTCACGATAGATTTGTCATGGTTACTTTTGAACCTAGGTTAGTTTAACTACATTTTGATTTGCAAAAATTACGCTTGTGAAGTTACTATAATGTAATGTGCTGCATACAAAAAAAATCGTATCGTTCACCAAAATGCCTCAACTATTTTCTTATTGTAAATCGAACTTCAGATTTTTCTCTCAGTGTAATCAACTGTGATAACGGGAAAATTTTAAATAGCAAATTCAATCAGATTAAAGGAGTTGTCATTCATTTTCTTGTTATCAGTATTAGTAAATTATTGGTCTCTTATAATTGTTAAGAAAAAAAATAAATTGTATCTTTGTATGATATTAATCGATTTATTAGTTCAATAATTAAACTGAGTTGGATTAAATTCTCTGTTAAAAAGCAAAGCATTAACAAAATTAGAAATTTCAGCTAAGTAAAAAAAAAAGAAATTTTACTAAAAATCAGTTGATATGTCGTAGTTCAAATTGATCAGTTCAAATGACACAAGTTGAAATATCGCAGTTAAAATGTCGTAGTTGGAAATTTCAGTTGAAATGTCGTAGTTAAAATGTCGTAGTTGAAATATCGCCTAGTTGCGAAGACGTGCTACCCAAAATGAAAAGATGAAGATTTGAATAATACCAATTTTTAAGTTCTGTGTTTAGAAACGACTTTTTGTTATACAAAAGAAAAGAAACCGAAGGAGAGAGAGAACTCGATCGACGCAAAAAAAAGAATGAAAAATAGAAAAATTAATTTAATGATTTTTACTCTGAATCGTTGGTTTCGATAAAAATGAGAAGAAAGATTCATTATGATTTTATTTCAGACTTTCGCAGTTTTATAATGCACAAAATAAATTGAGTTGTTAAATAATTATTTGAAAATGTCTTCTTGCACTGAACTTGGCGCTTAAAACGTAATAAACAAGTCGCAGTTTATCGGCCGTTAAGCTATGAAATTCCATTTGAAATATAAGCCTGGGGTAGTGAGAATATTTCTTGGGCAAATTTTAATTGGATCTTAATCAGTTGTAATCAGTCGAATTTGCTGAGGAAATAAAATTTTGAAATAAATTCTAAATATGATACAACAGGGATTATGTTGAAAACCAGCCAATTTAGAAGAGAATAAGAAGCATACTTCTTCATAAAGTGTGTGTCATCGCAAACATAACAGGAGGATTGGAAGTAAATCTTGCGCTGATGGGAAGTTATGAGGAAGGATAGAGCAGCAGTACACAAGGGCATAAGCCCCTCAATTCACGCCGGCAATAAGTCAAACGTCTGAAAATTGCGAGCGGAGGGTGAAAGCCAGACCTCTCAACACTCCTTTTATCGTAATGATGCTGAAAGATGATAACTAATCATCCTATTCCTTGGGAGAATACCGTTTTCAGGCTGTTATCAGCCATATTGCCAAGGATATATTTCACCTTCAACTGTTCGGGATGAAAGGTTATTAATGGTGATGCTCGGCAGTTTTTTTATCATTTTCAAATGTCGGTTTATTATTTCCGGAGCTTGTGGAGAGTAAAACGGAAAACCCTCCTCACAAGCTCCTTGTCGTGGTGGTACTGAAATATGATGAATAGGGATCACACATTTTAGATGTATTCTTTTCGTTGTACAATATTATTTTAGATGGGTTTTTTATATTGAATTCTCACTCGGGTTTTTCTGGGCAGATTTTAGGGCATTATTCAAAAATTTTCTGTGAGACCACTTTGTAATAAAGACATTGTCTAGCTGAAAAACTAATTCTAATGATGTAAATTGAATTTATTGATATGAATTCTGAAGCAATATAGATTTTATATTCATAATAAGGGAATGTTTTTCCACGAATAAAACTTTTACAGAATAACATTTTTTCCATTGCCACTTCTCTTTGAAAAAAAATGATGATGACGAATAAAAATTGATAATGATATTGTCTTCAAACTAGGTATTTCTTGGAAATTCTCCCTGTGATAAAGTGTTTTTTAATAGAAAAAATCACGAGAAAATAATTTCGGATTTTACGAATAATCATTGTCGTGATAGTTTGATGCAATTGGTACATTTTGAAATGATATAAATTTCATATCCATAAAAATGGAAATGTTTTTCAATAAGTTGAGTTTCTGCTAAATAAAAATGGACTTTCTGGTGCTTTAATCTTGAGAAATATAGAGACACCAAATACGAATTAGTGATATTAATTTTTCCATTCTGTCAACATAACTGCATGAATCGCGATTTCTCGCGAAGATTGCCGCCATTTGGAAATGCTTCATACGCTAGTGATTTCCACCGGCCCCCTCCTTGAGACAAGTTTAAACTTCAATTTCAACTTAATTACGACTATCCACAATGATGCTAACATCGCGATTTAACGAGAAGTGTGAACTTCGCGATTTCTCGCGAAGATAGCCGGCATTTGGAAATGCTCCATGGGATTGGGGTTTCCACCGTCCCCCTCCTTGAAACAAGTTTAAACTTCAATTTTAACGTAAGTACCACAACGATGTTAACATAGCGATTCAACGAGAAGTGTGAACTCCGCGATTTCTCGCGAAGATCGCCACTATTTGGAGATGTCTCATACGATTGTGGTGTCCACCGTCCCCCTCCTTGAGACAAGTTTAACCTTCAATTTCAAATTAATTATGACTACCCACAACGATATTTTTTTTTTTTTTTTTTTTTAATATTCCGGCCCTTTCTGCCCTCTGATTGGCTAATCGGCCATATCCAACCGTATGCATGCGGCTGTGGATTCTACACTGCACCGCATTCGCACTCCTATAGAACATAGGAGTAGCATGGGAAACCACAGAAAACCCATGCCGGTACAGGCGGTCACTATATTAGCGACCTCCCGCTCGCCGGAGCCTCCGGTTGAAAAACTCGGTTCCACGGGGAATCGAACTCACAACCTTTCGCACACTAGGCTTGCACCTAGCCGCTTCGGCCACCGACCTCGGTCCACAACGATATTAACATCGCGATTTCTCGCGAAGATCGCCGGCATTTGGAAACGCCCCATGCAATTGTGTTTTCCACAATTGTCTTTAATTTCAACTTAATATGACTTCATGATAATATATCTTAAATGAAATTCATGTTGACATGAGAAAAAATTTTGAGCTCCAAAATTCAACACCCATCATTTTCTCTTGTCACTTCGTCCCTCATACTCATTATCGTGATGTCTTCTCCCCTGGTGACATCAGTTCGCCCTGTTCTCTTAACGAACTTTCGCGTTTATTCCTAGAACTGACACCACCACTCACAGATGCAGCGAGCGAAATTGAAGGAGTCAAGCAAGAATACTCAGGAGTGTTTTCTCAGTACGTTGAAAGGGAGTTGAGAAAAGTGCTTGCCTCTATCTCTGGCACTTCTTGACCCCTTGATACTTCGGCGCTATGAGAGACGATGGGTTTGTACTGCTATGTACATCCTCTTTTAACTACTTTGCTCCGTCAGTAAGTCGTTCCGTGTCAAGGAGATAGTAATTCAGTATCGAAGTAGGTATTGAATTTTTTTATTCGTCACCAGAGGATGTAATTACTGCACTTCAAATCGATTTTATTAGGTTCTGTGGAATTCTACGCTGAATGCATGCAATTAAGGTGAATGTAAATGCAGATTTCCTCAAATCTGCCACAGAAACTCATTTCTGAACTTCGAACACCTTTCGAAGATACTTGTAGTCATTTAAATGTGTCTGCATTAATCAAAGATTCTGATTTCCAGTGTGAAATTAACATAACTCTGAATGCGCATGACAGACTCGAATGAGGAGAGAAATATTCAATAAAAATTACGTATCTTTTCCGGAGCGCAATGTGGCTGTAGGAAATTTTACGGAACTGTCACGGAATTTTTCAAAAGCGTTCCGTAATTTTTACGGATACGATTTTTACTTATTGAATCTCCTGTGAAAAATTACGATACTGTCACTTAAATTTTTTGAGTCGATTCCGTAATCGATGAGCGAATTGTGAGTTCTGTAACATTTACTGAAGATTTCTCTCCGTGTAATTGTTTCATAAATTCATTAATCTATCAATTGCTCAATAAATTAGTAAATGAAACCTTAAAAACAATTCAATGTAAAGGACATTGACAATCCAAAAAAATTATCCCAAATGGATTCGAATTTTGAAATTTGTGCCGAACAATTGGGTTCCAACTTCAGGGGTAAAATTATTAAAGGTGTAAGTTAGAGGAGAATTACGGGAGTTTTTTTCGGTTTTTACCCATCGTCATAGTAAAAAATAGTAAAAAAGTAGTTCGCATGGTCGAAAGAAGTAACTTACATCGCCGGCCGAGTGGGTTAGACGCAAGCCTAATGTGCGAAAGGTCGTGAGTTCGATCCCACGTGAAACCGAATTTTTCAACGTGAGGCTCCGGCTAGCGGGAAGCTGCTAATAGAGTAACCGCCTGTACCGGCGTGAGTTTCCTGTGGTTTCCTATGCTACTCCTATGTTCTATAGGAGTGCGAATGCGGTACAGTACAAAATGGATAGCCCCATGCATACGGCTGGATAGACTATCGAGCGGGACGCAAAAAGGGACCCGAAGGCCAAAAATAGTATATTTCGTCACTAGGCCGAAAAAAAATTTTCTGGCGAACATGAGTTTGCAGTTCGAGCCGAAGGCGAGGGCTGCAATCATATGAGCTAGAAAAGTTTTTTTTGGCCGTATGACAAACTGTATTTTTTGAAGCGCTGCCTCACGGCCGGAATGACAAAAAAATTTTTTTTTAATTGTCGAAAGAAAACTTGGGGTTTAAAAGGTCTTCAAAAAATCGGTCGAAGGCCGGAGAAGGTTCGGGAAACCTCTTGAATGGGACATAACTAGAATAATTCAATCAGGACAATTTTTCTCTAGTTTTTTAATGACTGAAAAATATTTCCAAAAAGTGTCGAAAATTAGTTACTATTTTTTTTTCGAGAATAAACCTTGAAAATGTCTTTTCAAACAGATATAAATTCCCATGCGACACTTACCTAGGAATTTGAAGGGCAATTTCGTCGAGGGAATCGCTTGGCTGTAAAGGTGCTCTTTCAAATAGTTTGCTTGGACCCCGATGAACTTTGGTACAACACTGCATAGATCCTGCGGTAGGTTGTGATTGGTCCCCGCAATTGGTCCCACGTTGACCACCCTGTGCTGTCCCCCGACGTTCACGTTTTTTCCGCGCCTCATCCGCCTGTCGCCGCAAGTTGTGAAGGCGAAAGAAGAACACCGACATCTCTGCTCCCGGCAGAGTACTCAATTACTTGTGGTTCATGATGTTTAAGGGGTAACAGAGGGCCACCGCTACCTCGAAACTTTTGAACAAATTTCCTACTCAAAGTTAGTGGTATTTTTCGAACCCAAAGCACGTTGATCTTCATCGTCGCCTTCTGGCGATGAATCTACTTCGATTTTTTTTCGAAATTTGTTAAAAAATTTGGAAAATTAGTAGCATTCTGTTACCTCTTAGAATATCCAAGTACCTTTTACAAATTGGTACAGGCCACACTACCCACACGAAATAATTTATATTTTGAGAAATATATGAAAAAATTAAATTGACCCAATTTATATCGAAAAAATATATTCTTTATAAATTAGAAAAATATATTGAATTAGCCCATATTATAGATTCAACCATTCCCAATCATCAAAAAATTAAAAACAAAAAAAAACATGAATATTTAACGTCGTTCAAATTATTTTTTGCACAGAATTATTATTTTTATAAATATTCGTTGTTTGTAAGTAAATAATTGAAACTGTTTAAACGTTTGAAAACCATTGTTTTTAGACATGAAATTAACTTCTGATAGAATTCTGAACATGAATACATTTGTTACGATTCCGAAAAGATGATTTTTACTGTGGAAAATTGATTCTTCATAAATTATTCATAGAACATGCTCGTCATTTTAAAAAATTGAAATTTTCAAATTAATTCATAAATCTTCCTCCAAAAGTGAACTTTCTAATTTTTTTCCACACCCACACGAAAAAGTTTATATTTTGAAAAATATATAAAAAAATATCTTAAATTGGTCCAATTTATATAAAAAAAATATTTGAAACATATTGTATATATTTTTTTACATAAACTATATTCTTTAGAAATTTGAAAAATATATGGAATTAACCCATATGATCGATTCAACCATTTCCAATCATCAAAAAATTAAAAAAAAATCATGAATATTTAACGTCGTTCGAATTATATTTTGCACAGAATTATTATTTTTTTAAACATTCGTTGTTTATAAATAAATAATTGAAACTGTTCAAATTTTCGAAAACCATATTTTTTAGATATGAAATTAACTTCTGATGGAATTCTGAATATGAATAAATTTGTTACGATTCTGAAAAAATGATTCTTACTGTGGAAAATTGATTCTTTATAAATTATTCACCGAGCATGCTCGTAATTTTCAAAAACAGCAATTTTCAAATTATTCCATAAAATTTTTTCCAAAAGTGAACTTTCCTATTTTTTTCCAGATTTTTAAAATGTTTTCTAACGGTTCAATATTGAGATTCAAATTCGGACTTGCAAAGTTTAAATAATAAAATCATTGTAAAATGTCCGGAAACTTAGAGTCAAAAGGGGCTCAAATGAAAACTCTGATGTTCAAAAAAATGGCCAAAGTACTTGGATATCCTTCACGATAAACGATCTTCCGATTTTCGCGATACATGTTCGGTGGTCCATGACCTTGTGCAGAGGTTATCATTCTCGAATGAACAGCACATGCAGCATGTCAGGAAGTTTATGATGCTTGTGACGGAAAGAATCAAACTTTATGGAAAACAGCAAGAGCGTTGAGTTCACGTGCAGGATTATTGCAAGCTGTGGTGCCTGGGTCATTTAATTTATATGCCAAACATGCGGTGGATGCCGTGACAATCGATGCATGGAAGAACAAACGCACAGGCATTAAATTCGCTGGGTTTGCTACATGGCGCAATTTCCTTGGAAATACTTTCATGCGGTCTTTTAACATGGGACGTTGCTGAAATTGTAGTGGAGCCTGTACATGTAGAAAAACGCGCTCATTCTATCTTCCGACGTGCAGTTTGTGGATTGAACTGGAGTATCGCTTTATGCACGAGGGAATAATAATTCAATTGAAAAATAAATTGAGCTTGATCTGTACGGAGTGAAATTTTTTAGAAAAATTCTAGTGCTGTTCAAGCGAAATTTCTGGAACGAGGTCGAAAGCGCGCTCCACGCGCCTGACAATTTGGTAGATTTTTCATGATTCATCACGTTATTATTTAAGTTGATTGGAGTCAATGTGTTCTTTCACGTATACGAATTTCTATAGTATTATTAAGGAGAAATTCGTGGGAAACGATGAAAACTTCTATGGAAAATTCATGATTTTTTACCTTCCCGACCCGAAGGGAGGAAGTTATTGTAATGAACCCGAAAATGAAATGTTGAATTTCGATTATTTGTCCACGTTTCGTGACCTCTAGAGTCATCCTGAAACGTTTCTGAAGAAATGTATGTGTGAGTGAAATTTTGTCCAACGATTTCTCCGGAACGAACGAACCGATTCAACTTTTTTTTTTGATCGATGCGTCATCATGTAATTTAGAACTGGTTAGATTATGGAAATGATTGCCTCAGCGGTTTTCCAGTTATCTGCATAAAACATATGAGAAAATGTCAAACAACGTTACTTTTACTGAAATTCGACGATTTTATCTGAAATAACGATGGAATTTGAATCAATTTGGTGTAATCGCTGCGTCATCATGTATCTTGAGTGTAATTGGATTTTGAGCGAAGGCTCCTCAGTGGTTTTTTAGTTATTTCAATAAAACTTTCGAATTTTGCAATTTGAAAAAAGGGAAAATTGGAGAAAAGGTTGGGGAATCTTGGAGTGAGTCAACTTCGAAGTAGAAAACTTTTCAAGTAGATGAACCTTGGAGTTGAGAAAATTTTGAAGTGGGTTCAACTTTGAAGTGGACAAAAATTTTCAAGTGGATTTAACTTTGATGTAAATGTGGGTCAATGACCTCTCCAATATCCTTGTTGCGTATATGATGAAATGGCAAATTATTTTCTACTCGAGAGGAAAGAGATTGGAAATTAAGAAATTGGATTTTTCTTTATATTACTTGGAGAGGAATTCCTTGCGGAAATTGGAAAAGATTGGAGGAGTAATTCAAGGAGATTGAGATGGTACAGATTAAGAAAGGAAGGAGGAAGCTTATCATTTTTTTTTCTCAATGGGGGAGGATGACAGCGCACATGTCTCTTGTTTAGATATTTGAAGACAAGGACCGTCGAAGATTCATCGTCTTTGATGATTGGATCGATTGATGTACATGGAGAAAAATTCTTTGGAAAAATTCTAGTGCTGTTCAAGTACAATTTCTGGGGGTTTTTGTCAAAATTTTTTCAGAAATTTTACAAAAAAAAACATTTACCGAAATAAAAAAAAAAAATTTTCTTTAAATTTTTTTTTCACATTTACCGAATGTAACACAACTCAACTGATCTGATTAAAAATGAAATTGCACTGAATTTCAAATTTACATATCAACATTGGTCGGTAAACAACGAATTGACTAAACAATCGCGAATAATAAAAACGCTTTTTGTCAGTAATTTTTTTCAGTTTTTCGCTTCTAAGAAAAAAAAGAAATTCCAAGTAAATTACACAAGGAAAAAATTAGTAAGGAAAATAAATTTCTGAGGGAAGAATTAGGCGAGGAGCAATTGATGAGGGAAAATTTTTTCGGGAATTTTTAAATGCACAGAGAGAAATGTTCAGCAAAAATTATGGAACTCACAGTTCGCTCACCGATTACGGAATCGACTCAGAAAATTTAAGTGACAGTATCGTAATTTTTCATAGGAGATTCAGGCAAAAAATACGAAACGCTCTGGAAAAATTCCGAGACAGTTTCGTAAAATTTCCTACAAGCACATTTCGCTCCGGAATTACGGAAAAGATACGTAATTTTTATTGAATATTTCTCTCCTCGTGGGAAAAAAACTCCGGCAAAAATTCCGTTGACATTTCTTCAGAATTTTGAGCGAAATTCGACCGAAATCAGCGGCTCAATTTGAATATTGAATAGAATCCCTTTGTGCCTGGATGTGGAAAACTTTTAATTGGATTCGTCCACAGTTTCCAGACCAGGCACATCAAATACGGGGATCAATACAGAAGCCCTGTCTCCCCGTAACCCGAAGAGAAGAAATTTTTCGACAGCTGGTAGTTGATTCAAACAAAACCGAAAATTAGGTATGAAAAATTACTCTCAACTTCTGGTGATTGTGCAGCGGGTAAATTGCAATAGAAATTTTCACGCAGGCGGAAATTTCTCGTTAAAAATTTTTAACGATCCCCTCAAATGGGGAAAGCTTGATAATATCACGAATCCAATTCGGTACGAATTTATTAAACTTCATGTACGTGAAATGAAAATTGTTAATAATGATGAACGGTTTAATTTTCGGCTTGAATTCCATTGTCAAATAAATGTTCCGTTCAATTTTGAATCTTGTTGTACCTCATTACGAATATTATGGGATATGGAATAAAGTGAGTTGCCAGACGGAAACATTCACACAACCAATTCTGGAAGAAAAATGGTTAATTCATGCAAACGAGATTCCACGATTAAATTTTTCTTGGACGAGTGAAACTTTACAGGATTTAACGACACACAGAGGATGATTCCGGGATTGGATTGTCTACGTAGTCGCACTGTGACCACTGTAAAATGTCACCTGAGGATATTCCGTGTAGCTGTGACCCCATTTCACGTCGTACAATTTCATGCATCTGTGTGTGCGTGTGCATTGTTACTGAAGGCGCACATCCTATGTTTAAACTATTTCGTATTCTTATTGTTTTATGAACACTGGTTGTTTACAGTCTCGTAATGACTACGGGGATTCGAAGGATGGCGCGAAAGGACGGTAAATTTAAGGTTCATCAGCGGCGCTAGTGGCGACGACCGCGGTCTGATTGTCGCAGCCGAAATCCAACTCGCTCTCTCGTTGGTTGGTACTTGTCCTCTTTAGAAAAATTGATGCCACCTTTTGTGTCAGTAATCTATTTCGCTAGGGATATCCTTAAGCTTAGGAACAAAGATAATCTTTGCATAGGATCCGAGATTAAAGAAATCTTTTTTCCACTTCCTTTGGAAATAAATATTGATTCTCTCTATCTCTCTATATAAATAAAAAAATAAGGCGAAAAATTCAGGGGACG